AAAAGTGCCGCCATATCCACGAAGTGAATGATGATGAGTGGGCGAAGCTCTGGAGGAAAACCTGGTAAACCATGAATCTTCCGTACATTTTGCCTACTCGATTTTATTACAATGCTCCCCCTAGCGTACGTCGCCGCACTAAATCGAACGATTGCCTTCCACCAATGACACGTGCCATATGTGACATCATTCCTATTTTATAACATCTCGCATCTTTCATCATCAACTACAAGTACCGCCGTCTAGTTTATAACATCTTGCATCTTTTCATCATCAGCTACAAGTCCCGCCATCTAGTGAGCACTGAAAGAACTAAACGAGAGGTGGCTACATGCAGGAGACGGTGCCGCCATCTAGTGAACACTGCAAGAACTAAACGAGAGGAGGCGACATACAGGAGACGGTACCGCCATCTAGTGGACACTGCAAGTACTAAACGAGAGGTGGCTACATACAGGGGACGCACAGCCCACGCCTTAAGGAGCTTCGCCCCTAAAAAGCAGAGGTGTTGGGTCCTCAAGTTTATTGGTTATTTACTGCTGATCAGACCTTTTAAAGAAATTGTGAAATGCCAACTGCTTCTTTGTTATACGTGCCTTTAGCACAAACCTCTCGATACCAGTTGAGAAGCATCACAGTTCACCGTGCGTGTGCTTCATTTAAACATTTGTTTACTAGTAAAGCCTTTTTCCCCAAAAACTAAGGTGCTTATGTGTCATTTTTAGACTATTAAGATTATATAAGCACGCAAATTTTTAAATAGTAGAGGGAAAGCAGCAGATATTTTCCGGCATGAAACTGCAACAAGTATGAATTAACCAAATGATGAGTTTGAATTAAAAGGCTTTCTAATACAATGAAAGTATAAAGGGCCAACCAAAAAATTGAATTTTGTTTGATTAACCGAAAGTATGAATTATAAGAGTTTGAATTATCACGAGACAACTGTACAACAAAATATTAGTTATAACTAAAAAACAAAAAATATTCTTGCAACAGATAAATTGCTAGGAATATACATTTATAGCGAACTTTTGGATATAACGAAATTATTTTCGTGTAATATGCAACCTTGTTTCAATGAAGTTTGAGCGCAGCTTGAGATAGATGCCGTAGTGGAAAATTAATTTTCAACCATATGGTACTGTTTTATGTGCACCCAAACCATGGTACGCTATTGTTTTTGTAATTTGCTTCCATTAGAATGCCACTGCTGTGGTTAGGAATGAGAGCTGTAGCCTCTGTAGCAACGTGGCCGCCACCGCGCACCCCGCGGTCATAAAAACCTGCAGAGCAGCATTCCAAGCAACGTGCTGCTCTCCTCTCTGTTTCTCCTTAGTCTCTTCCCGCTTCGTAGAGCCAGGTTGTACGAGACGAACACGTCTTTTCAGTAACGTCTACTTTATTCTGACAACCAGAGAGTTGAAAATAGAGCAGGTGTGTGCAATGCACCAGAAGTGGCAAGAGCGAAAGAGATGAATGAGGAAGAGAGAGGAGAGCAGCACATTGCTTGGAATCCTGCTCTGTATGTTTCATGACCGCGAGGTGTGCGGTGGCGGCCGCAACGTTACACCTCATTCAAAATAACAAATTACAGTATAACCTAATTACAACAGACCACCATAGTGAGGAGGATTTTGGTATGTTTTAAAAGAAGTACCGTATTTACTCGCGTAATCCTCGCACTCGCATAATTCTCGCACCCCCCTATCGCCCAACGAAAATACGATTTCTTTTTTTCCTCGAGTAATTATCGCACCTCCATAAACTGCCACAATAATGTCGTCTGCTCGTTCCAACCACTGATGATGACAGCGTGCGCCATCTAGCGCCATCTCTTAAACATCAAGCGTACTATTACTGCACGGATATTCACTCCAATCCAAGCTAAGCCAAAGTGGCTAGTGATAATTGATTGATATGTGGGGTTTAACGTCCCAAAACCACCATATGATTATGAGAGACGCCGTAGTGGAGGGCTCCGGAAATTTTGACCACCTGGGGTTCTTTAACAAAGTGGCTAGTGTGCGTTGCGGCCTGTTTTGTGTGTTGTGTCGGTAATCTTGTCACGTTATGGGGTGATACTGAAGCTACTAGGCTGCTTTCAAGTTGAAAATGATAGATCATGATGTAAGCAATGGCAACAGGGCCGCCGGTAAGCCTTTCGGAGCATACGAGTTTTGTGTTCGCTACTGGTGACGGCAGCTTAAAGCCACGAAGACGCGTTGGGCCTGCCGTGTGCCAAAAACTGGGATTGATAATAAAGTTTATTTTTTCAGAAAGAAACTGTGGACGATTCTGCTAAATAGTATCAGCCCAATACTGACGTCCTACACTTACCTTTTGAGCAATGATCGCTACTGCCACGCCCGCAACGCCCACAAGCTTTGCGTGTGGTATTCCAATTCTCGACTATTTGCTTGCACTTTTTGTGTCTCAAATAAATTTTGCCTTGTGTTGAATGTGTGCTTTTATTGTTGAGGTAAAATTTAATTAGTACGTCTCAAAGCTTGCTGTTAGTTGCTGGTGTGAAAATCCTGATTTGCGGCCACTTCGTTTTGTTTTTTTTCGCTCTGTATGTTTTCGTGGAAAGTTTTCCCCGCGTAATTCTCGCACCCCCCCCTTAGCATCGGTTTTCCGCCAAAATAAGTGCGAGGATTATGCGAGTAAATACGGTATGCAAAATCCAAGTACTGTTACAACAGACTTTTACAGAAACACTGAATGGGTCTGTTATCACAGAAAAAAATCACGAGTTATATCAAACTTATTCTCAATGGGGCATAAAAAGTTGGTTTTATGGAAATCATTCTTCAGTGCCTGTAGCCTGTTTTCCATCCGATTCCAAAATATCTTCACTGAAAAGTATGTAAAAGTGTTGTAAAAGTTTTTTGCACCTTCTGAGGTGGTGAAAACCATCGTGGAAGTAAAAGAAAAACGCGTTTTTCAAGAATTTATAGCTTTGTGACAGCACAACTGCCCACCACCACTTTGGGCTCGTCGTAAAAGTATTTTGTAAAGAGCATTCCATGTTCAAAAAGCAGATGTTTCAAATTCATTTGGAGGATTCCAATTGTCTGCTTCTATCGTATTGCTCCAGTGCGCCTTGCAAGTTTAATGCTCAAAAAAAAAAAATCACGAGTTATATCAAACTTATTCTCAATGGGGCATAAAAAGTTGGTTTTATGGAAATCATTCTTCAGTGCCTGTAGCCTGTTTTCCATCCGATTCCAAAATATCTTCACTGAAAAGTATGTAAAAGTGTTGTAAAAGTTTTTTGCACCTTCTGAGGTGGTGAAAACCATCGTGGAAGTAAAAGAAAAACGCGTTTTTCAAGAATTTATAGCTTTGTGACAGCACAACTGCCCACCACCACTTTGGGCTCGTCGTAAAAGTATTTTGTAAAGAGCATTCCATGTTCAAAAAGCAGATGTTTCAAATTCATTTGGAGGATTCCAATTGTCTGCTTCTATCGTATTGCTCCAGTGCGCCTTGCAAGTTTAATGCTCGTTCCGGATACGCCTCTGGGATAGCAACATCTGCTTATTGTGCGTTGCGAGGTCGCAGCTGTCTAAAATCCCACTACTTAGTGACATTTTCACGCTCACTCTGCGTTCACGGGTTGCTAAGACAGGTGCAAGCAGAAGATCAGTCTTCATATTAGGATCGCGCGTCGGACATCGCACGCGCACATCTCAAACTGATTGTCATAGCGTTGACTTGTTGGCGAGGAGGTTCTGCTTATCAGTGCTTCGGACCTTGCAACGAAGACCACTGCGGGACAGATCTTTGTACCCGCGATCGAGCGTGTCGTGTGTCGTACTTTGAAACATCGCGCACCACGGCCATGCACATTGCAGCCGCGCTTTCTGCTCGAATTTGTGTCTAGGCGTAACTCTATCCGCCCCGAACTTGGCGGCAAGACCGTCACGCTAGCGAATATGTGAAAGCGAAGAAGCCGTAATGTGTTTCGTTGCAAGCAACAAATCACATCGACTGCTGGATCCTTAAAACCGCTAACCTTGAGCATCGGTAACGGACCCTAGCCAAGCTTGCCATGCACCCGACCACTTGGCATAATGGTGGCAGCGGCCAGCCATTTCGTGCGTCCGTGCTCCAGCACACGAAATCAGTTACGCTGCGGGCCGATTTTTCGTTGCCGTAGCTAAGCATAACTCATCACTAACAAACTGGAGATATGCGGCCTTCGTTTTTAAATCGGTACGTAAATATCTGCAGCCCTATTCCCATCCTGAAAGTATGCCAAGCGATGTTTGAAGCCAGAAGGTATTGAATTGGGGATGTCCGCGGTAGAAAAGTCCGCTGTAAAGGAGTCCTGACCACTTTGCTGGCCTGACATTTTAGTCAATTATATCCAAATGTCCGATGTACCAAAATCCAAAGTAAACGAAGCTCAACCAATGGAACAAATAGCGAGGTCGGCATAACGCCGCAAATTAGTATGTAGTAACTAAATGTCTGTTGTAAGCGGATCAGTTGTAACGATGCTATACTTTACCATTGTTGTAGTAGAATGGAAAGTTGGGCTTGCTGGAATGCTTACAAGATTGGTGCCGCACTACAGACAAAGACGAATGAAACGGAGTGCACAGCACTTGCACTCTACGTTCCTTTCGTTGTTGTCTGTAGCACTGCATCAATCATGCTACAATGATTGCTGTGACTGCTGTTGGCATACTATAGATTCAAAAACCTAAGCACTTCTCATCAACGCATGATATCACCTAAAATGAAGTCTTACACTATTACTGGGTTTCTTTAGGATCGCTCACAAAATACCTTGTTCTCTGCATGCTTCAAACAATTATGTGGGCATCCAACAGTGCAATGCCAGTGCTTATTTACATGTTATTTACAAACATGCATCTAATGTCCTGTTCATTCTGTATCCAGTACAGCTAACCAGCAGCAAATTAACATATACCCACATAAATAACAGTCACTAAACATACAATTCACAAGTGAACTGAGCAGTTTACCTCCAGAAAGGGCATCACTCTTGAGCAGGCAGTTGAGGTACAGGGGCAGTAGCTTCATGCATTCAGGCAAGATAAGCTGACCGGACGAGGAGGGGCTAGCACAGTGCTTCCGATATGCAGCCAGCATCTGAGCACCTCGACCAATGCAGCCATCACGCACCTGTCGAGGGCTTTGCTCCAATAGCTGCCGAATCGCTGCATAGATTTAAAAAATAATCAGATTAATGTGCATGAAGTAGTGGGTACCATACCCACTGTCACATAGCTCTCTGGTCACATCTCCCAGCCACATGTAATATTCTTGACATATTAAGGAATACGTAGAAAGATTTTTATTGTGACCTGGCCATCTGAAGTACCAGAAACACGATGTGCATACTCAAGAAGTTGTCCAACATTGCATCTTTAGAAAAACGCGTTTTCAACCTAAAAATGAGAGCTGATCCATGTGGCAAGGCCATGCTTTTTAAAATGATGGCTTTTATCACACGAGCTTGGTCATCATGGCTATTTTGAGAATGTGGTTTTAGTGAACGCTTAATGTGAAATGCAATGGCAAGCAGCCAGATGACAAATTTCAGGGGACTATAGACAATGAACTTTTTTTCAATTTTTAATAGCAACCTTGAGAATTTCCAAAGCAATTTTAATTTTCTCCAAGTTTAATTACAACCTTGATTTTTTTCATCATAAAAGTAGAGGAACCAAATTTTTGAAAGCAAGAAAAACAAAAATGAGTAATTTCCAAAAAAATTTTTTTGTATTTTTCTAGTTGTAGTTCTCTTAATGCCAACATATAAAACATTTTTATCTACAATCTCAGCATAAGTTTTATAAAATTGACTGAAGCAATGCGGTGCCCGTGAATAACATTTTGATCATTCACATTGTCACATTGCTTCCATATGATTTTAAAGCACTGCCCTGCAGTTTTTGTGGCATCCGTAAGTTGTGTTGCTGCACTCATTGACTGGGTTCATCAATTGGAAGTTTTAATGCAAGGTATGCACTCCATGTTATACCACTCGGAGAAACACCAAAGATAATGTTGGCAAGTGATGGTGGCAGCATGGGACAAAAGCTTAGTTAACACAAAGCACTAAAGTGTTGATATACCAATGAAACGATGTGTAAATTTGATAAAATTTGGTGTCATTGAGGCTTAACTGCCCTACTGGTTCTATATACTAAAACCAGCAATGCTTGTCTAGTGCCGTGTGGACCGATTTCTACACAGCAGTCTGCAGCTTACAGTGAATTTTTATCTGCACTCAAAACAAAACAATGAGTTGTGGTTTTGAAGTAGTGCATTTGAATTATGTGGCAGCTATTGTATGCTGACACTTGTTCACATAGATGCTTTAATCAATTAAAATGCAATGCAATCAATCTCTATGCAAAAATTGCACATATATTTACAATAGTATTAGCTTGAATACACTAAATTTCACTAAAAGCTTATTCAGTAAAAGCCCCATTTTTCGCTCTAAGAATCAATTATGCTGTTATCATCAATGTTCCACAATTATCAGTCCAATGCCAATATCTACATCAGCAATTAAGCCAGCTAACCATTTAGTTCCTCCCCATTAAAAAAACCTAAAAAAAAGTTGTGCCTATATGTCTTTTATTACCCTGTTTCTTTGCGTACATCTATTGGCAGAAAACATTTCATTTGTGATCCTCTGTTAAGAGGTAACTAACTAACCTTGCTTGGACAAAACGTTGACAATAGTGTCCAGGTCACAGTTTCGATACATGTCAGCCATTTGAGAGCAAGTAGCTAGGGCAAGATTATGAATACGAAGCCTGCGCTGGCCTCCAAATGTCGTGTACAGCAGAGCCACCTGTATGAAGGCTCCTTCTTCTTCTGATAGCTTGTCGTCATACTTGATCTGCATCCAAAAACAAGCACAAGATAATCACAATGCGATGAACAAGAGACGAAAGATCAAACTGAGAGTGTACATAAGTGTACAATGCCAACCAGACACTCACTAAACTGCTTAAGTGGCCTCTAAATGCACCTAAGGAACTTTGTCAAAGCTTAGGCTACATCATCACTAAATTATTCACTTCATAATTTACCTAAGCACAATCTACAGCAATTCACAGGGTTGAAACCTAGCAATATATTACACAGTTGACGCAGAGAGCTTAAATCGGCCAGATATTGCTATAATAATAACTGATGTGATGATACTAGATCGTTCATTGCTGTCATGTGTTTGTTCAACACAGATGTCACCTTTGCCACTTTTGTCCTACTTGACAGCCTTATATTTTCTCGTTTTTCAGAACACTGTTCTTTACAGTAAAGTTTTTGTAACCACTAATTCATGCATATTTCACCTTCTCACAATCAGATGATGTATGGGAGCTGCCCTGACAGTTTTCAACTTTGGGGCTCCGTGTGTTGTACTAATTTTGTATTCATGATATGTAAACTGACATCATTGCCAAAAAAACTCATGAAAAGTCCCCTTTAGGACTTCCTCTACAACTCAATGTGCTAGTACAAAATTGTCAAAACCTGAAACTCAGTGAGCAAAATTTATTGCAAGCCAAATCAGTCGTCTTTTTAAGCAAATGCACCATTTAACTATGATTAAATTAAAATGCCTCAGAAATCCACATTCCCTATTGAGAAAGCTAGCGCAACTGAATATGAAGCAATGAAGCTTTCACGCTTTTTTGAGTATAGATTCTTTAAAATATCCTGTAGGCATACACGAATAGTGAATTTCAGGTTTGAAGAGAATTCGAAGCAAAAAGTGATGTTGGTAGAATACTTTCTAATTGAATTCAAATAGTATATCCCCTCCAGCAGCAGTGTGTACAATTGTACGCATCAAATTCGAAGAAATGTCACACACAGCATGCTTCTTCATATGGCTTGAAACTAAGTGTGCACATACGTACAGGCTTCCTGAGTGAACAAACAGCAGTCACTAAACTTCATTGCTGTCGTATTGCTGCAGATGATCACTTTGGTGGAGACACTAGAGTGTTTGACGATTGTTCAATGAGGCACGTTTCACAGCCAACGTAAAGTTTTTTTTTTTCTTAGTTCCAAAAGAGTGGAACCAAAAATCAAACTATGCATGCACTTTCGGCCTAATATTTGATTTTTTATGCATGGATTGAAGGTGACTAATTAATATTAATGACTCAAACTCACAAAAAACAACACATTCCTTTATTTTATTTTGTGAAATGTAATGTTGAGTGCCTTTGAAATCATGTCATAAAATTTGACGCCTTTCCAGACAGTGCATAATTCGTACCTGAAGGGAATATGTAAGGTATTATAAAAAAAAATGGGCATATTTGTCATGACCTAGCTGACCTGCACAATATTTTTTTTTTTTTTCAGTTAAAAGAAATGGAAACAAAAATAGTAGCAAGAATAAATTGATAGCAGCAGGATTTGACTTTCGGTAGAGTGCAAGTGATAGCCTGTAAAATATGTTACATTTAAATATTTCCCATACTTAGAGCATATAGGCTGGTAAAACAAGGCCTTAACCTTAAAAAATTAAGCGATGTAAGGGTAATATGTTCATTTAACCCTGAAGTGGGGCTTCGTGGCAATGAAAATATTCCGTGAATAGGTGTTTTCATGGCTTACCAATCTTTTATTGCAATGAAACCACATTTACAGGGGTTACACCCAGACTAATATACACTTGCTCTTTCATTTCAAATACTTTGAAATTTTCAATAATTTAAATTCGAATCAAAGCAAATTTGAATACTGTAATATTAATCAAAATATTTGAAGCATTCAAACATTCCCACAAGGCTGATATTCTGGTTTCTCACAACTGTAACACCCTGCCTTTTTCTGTTCGTGCTTTTAACATGATATTTTATAATACAATTTAGCCGCTTATTTTACTCCCCAAAGTAGGGAACTTAAAAATATCCAGGATTCAATCAGATTGTCAGAGAGAATGTTAATCATTAATGATCATACTTCAAAGTTGGGGTTGATGTTTAAAAGCACCGACAACCGATTTTTTTCGACCCAGTATTTTCCAGTGCGACAGAAAGCTTACCCTTCGTAGTGTTCGTAGCTGCAGTAGGTATTCCAAAAGCACCTAGTTAATTTATAAGCAGTATTTTCCGATCTGAAAGGCTCTGAATACGAATGTGTCCTTTTGTCCACCAATGCTGAGAATTGATAGTGATGCCTGTAGCTCTTCTAGCAACTTGTGCACGCTGTCGTTATGTTTTCGCAGGAGTTCCTGTAACTATGCTTAACCACATTTATTTTGAGTTATACAACTATTTTTCAAAATAACAAGCCGTTACAATGATACGATGTGGCTTTATACAGCTTCAATGTAACAACCTTGGATGTTGTGTGCACCCAAGGCTCTTGCCCTTGTGTCGTGAATGGCTTGTTTCGTTGTCGTTACTCTCTCGACACGAGCCAAGCTAAGTCACCGAAAACGTTACTGCGCATATGCGCGGCCGTGTCGACTAGCAGTACACGTCATTTCCGAGGCAAATTGTATATAGAAAAACAACGTCGCTACAAAAATCATAGCAACCCAGAAACTGCTTGCACGGTTTCATGAGCACACAAGAAAGTTGCTCAAGACGCGCTGACGAGCATGAGATGATTATGTCTTCGAAGGCAGCACCACTTTAATGCATACGACTGACACAGGCCTAAATGTGCAGTTTTGTAGAGTAATAGGTTTCACTATAAAGAAGCAAATAATATTTGAACACTAACATGAAAACTGTTTATGTGTACACTAGTCTGCGATCACATGACAGGGCAGCTCGGATAATTGATGTTTCTGCCACAAGGTGGCGCCAGTGGCTATTTTCACGATTTTCAATGAAGAAATAAAAATATAACTCTACTTTTCACAAGAAAAGCATGGTTGGTTTGAGTCACTATAAGAGACAATCTTTCCATCCGTGAAATCATCTCATTTCATGTTTTGGACAGTTGTCGGTCCCTTTGTTTTACATAAATATGCATTTATTATATTATAACCACCGGTTACTAAATGTCTTGCAGTGAATATAAGAAGGACAGTTGGTGATAATGTCATAATATTATGTACACAATGTCTCACTGCAAGATATAAAGCGTGAAGTTTTAATACCTCAACTGCTATGCATTTGTTGCAGTCCACAGCAGCCAGTTCAACATCTGTGGTGTTTGCCATGTAGTAGTTACCGTAGAAGTCAGTTGGCCGGATGCCTGTGCTAGTGCGCACTCGCATAACAGCATCAAAAGCTGTGGGCTGGGAGACATCACGCCGTAGGTCTTCAAGAAACCTGGCCCCTTCGACATCCTCCTGGAAGATAACCATGACAGCCAGTCACCTGGTACACAAGCATATGCTAACAAGCATTTTGCTTTGAAATAAACATTGCACAGCTTGGCAAGTTCTCCTGAGACTGGCCGACGAAGCTCTTATCATGAAATGCTGCAGCCAATGTCAGTAGCCAAGAGTCAGACTCTGCCGAAGCAATGCTGAGCCTATAATGCCTGGTGCCTCATGGCAATGTAACAGAAAAAAAATACAATTGCTCATTTTTCCTGAACAGAAAATTCTGACATGGCACTCACGTGCACTTGTCTCCACCATATACAACTAAATTAAGTAAACAACAGTCCTAATCCATGGAGTGCTGCTCTATCAGAGATATTTCTTCTGTAATTCTGACAAAAATATCCCCATAACAATTCTAGGCCTGCAAAACATCTCCTACTGAGATCAGTATTTGCTACAGTTTATGCTCCTACAAGTATCCATGATGAATTCCACACATCACTGCGCATCAGGCCACAAGACTGGTATATTTATGAAGTGCAAACTTCCAAACACATTAATATTGACATATCTAAATGCTATCATTTATCAGGGTGTACACAAGCCAACATATGCTAGGGTGTACAAATAATAATAATGAAAAAAAAAGAGCTATACCAGATAACTGTTTGTCTATACACTACATTTGTTATCCCTTCGATTGTGGACGATGTTTCTTCCTCAATTTCTTAACTCCTGCCTGCACCACTGCTTATGCTACAACAGCTGCCTACTTTTGTTCTCCTGTACACGGCGGTTTGCATGGGGCTAATCCCAGCATGCCTCCATTCATGAACTACTGCTCCTTCATGATTCGATGCTGGTTCACACAGGGTTCATGCTCGTTTATTTGACGAAAATTCAAGGGTTTTAAGGACTTTCAAGGCTATGTGTGCAAATTTTCAAGAACCACACTGTCTGTTGTTATAAAGCCAACTAACAGATGTTCAGGAGGGGATAAAGGCTTGAAATAACTAGAACTGATCAAAAAAGGATAACATCCCTGGAGCAGACATCAAAAACTTGGCTCCATTTATATTTTTTTATAGACAACTTTCAATTATAGTTTCTTAAAGTTGCATAGGCAATCACTTGTAGTATGACACAAGTTGCAAACTTTTATTGAAATAGGAAAAGCTAAGGGACAGTTATTATGCAACACCTTGTTGCTTTTTCTGAATTTTTATACCGCTATTCACTATCTCCTGCTGCTTGGTCTTGGCAGTCTTCTTGAGGTTTTTTGACTTGATGATGCATTTCAAGCTGCTGATTGTCTCTGCCTTTTCTACATATGAGTCTGCTGTAGCTGTTATTTCCTTAACAGAGGCTTCTGGTTTAATTTCCTTTTTTTCAAAGCATTTCGACCTCCTCCTCATTAAAGCATTTCTTTTTCAGTTTCTCATCCTATTTCTCCATCCTTTTCTAAGTTTCCAGAAATGCATGGTGTTGGTTCTGCGCAGAAGCTACTGATATTCTCAATTTTTTGTAATGGGCACATTACATGTGCCACCTGCTACATTTACGGCATCAAAAATAATGTGCTGTGAAATGTGTGACAATGTTCATTGAAAAAAAAAAAACAACAGAAATTTAAGGACTTTCAAGGACTTGTGGAAATTCTAGCACTTTAAAGGCCTTGAAAAGAAACTTTTCAAATTCAAAAATTTTCAAGGAACCACATGAACCCTATTCATAGCTTAGAGCACGGCATGAACGTCATGCAAGTCATTCTCACTATGCTATTGTACAGCCAAATACACTTTTTTCTCAGACAGATGATGCTAGCATAGCAATACAGCTAAATAAACTGACCTAAACATGCAGATTCCCTTACCACAGTATTACTTGTAGTGCATACGAGCCCTTTTTGGCATGACAGTTCTGCCCAGTGGTTACTAACTTTAGTTCTTTGCTACACAACATTTTGCAGCTATAGCACTCAACATAACACAAGATTGTATATTTGCCAACGAACTTTCACCCAGGCTAATCGGTCTCTTTGAAAAGCATGCAATTCAAAGCTTCCACTTGTTTACATGCACCAGCCATGCAAAGCATGCTATAACCCATCATTTTTCTGCCTATAATATAAGGCCCCTGTGGCACCTTATATTAAAGGAACCCTGCGACACTTTTGGGCATGGCCAAAAAACCCTGTTTTTCTCTCAACAAATAATGCCATAATCCAAGATGACTGCGTCATAAACACAAGGTTTACGGCCATTAGCTGAATTGGGCATAGTGGGCTGCATAGTTACTGGAGCCATCATGAGATGATGCGACATGCCCGCAACGCACTTCCCAGTGCCAGATTCACAGCATAGAATTGAACCAGCATGCTAATGACCACACTGAAAGTAAGCTGTGCATTCAAAGAAAAGAAAAGAAAGTGCTCAAGGTCATGACACACATTGACAAATGCATTTATTGTCTTGCACCCTGTGTAGCTTTCACAGCGCTCACTGGTATGAAAGGAGAGAAAAAGCACTTAAAGCGTGCAAATCCACTTTGCTTCAGGTCTTGCCAAAGAGAACATTCTGATAAGTATTTTACCACATTAATGATAGATACCAATAGTCTTTTTAAAAGGAGTAAATACACTGACCATTTCAGCAGGTTAAAACATCCCCAGTTAGTTACAACAAAAAAAAGGGTGCACCTGCCCTTCATTTCTTTAGGGAGAGCAGTGTCTGCTGGCATTCATTCAAAGCACAAGCTGTTTTCTCCTCAACTGAAGCAAATAATAGGCATATCAGAAAATAAGAGTTTGTTGCTTTTGATAAAAAAGTATGTCAGAAGGCTGAAGTTTTCCACCATAATTCTGCAACCAAAATGTAGATCCACATGCCAAAATTGACTATCTATGACATATAAAAGTGCTTGAAGCTGCAGAAATAAGCTAATGTAATGCGAAAGAGCATCTATGCAAACTCTGAGTGGAACAGTGATAACTATAAGCAGAGCTGTTCAATTTTTTTTTTTGAGGTTTAACTGAATATTGGCATATAAATCAATCCCACTGCACCTACAGCAGCTAAGTAAATGAGGCAACAGGCTGGGCACATTCCAAATTCCATGCAGTCCCCTTGTGTCAAAATGGCCAGAAGATTACAACTACCACAATGTCTTGAAGCAGTGGGGGCACAGGTAAACTACACGTGAAATTGGTCTGGCTCAATGCTGGTCTTACAATACAATAAGCAATGCAAATAAATTTCTCAACAAAGGTTCAACATGCAGCCAAAATATCTTCAGAGACTCGCCACTGACATTGCCACTGCACTTAAAAGCCGGAAGGTGTACTGATGCTGTGTACACAGCCAATCCCTTTGCTTTGGATGCGAAAGTTATTCAAACATATATCTGCCAATTTTCTGATGCCCCACCTAAATATTTTAGTTACCCATCTCTTAGGATGCGAGAGTATATCTGCCAACTTCCTAATGCCCCACCTAGATAATTTTAGTTAATAAACCAGCATACAAGCCTATTTACTCCCAAGTGAAGCCCATTCTGACTGCCCCTATTTTACACAAATTTTGCGACAACAGCTAGCATACAATGTTTTTTCTACATTACATACTGGCATTTATAGTAGCTTTGAAGACATCCATGATATGAATAATATTCAAGAGAATGCCGTTACATGACAGGAAACAAACTTTCACGAGCTAGTGTGCCAAGTACTATCCTATGTACTTGCAAGATGATGTACTTGCAAGATGATACATAAAAATTAGGGACATTTAACATGTACCCCAGTCACATACATTAAAATATTACTAAAAATAATTATTTTTGTAAACCTTCTTTCACTATTAATGTAAATAACTAGTACACTGCATAAAAAAATTTCTCAATGTCCTGTGAAGTAATGGCTACACGTTACAACCAACTTGCAAGATTTTCCTTGGCCAAACACAAGTGGACCTATTCCCCAATTGCAAGGCCAGCAGCACCAAAATGATTCACAAAAATATCCACCTGTAAGAAAGAAATTTCTGGCCCTGTCAACAAAGATAAAATTTCACAGACATGGCTACAAAAGTGGTTCCTTGTAGAAATGTGAACATGAACATATGCAGGGCCATATTGAATGCAGAGTGGAAACCGTACTGCAGTAACAAACACCCCAGCCTTGTTGATGTGGGTAAACAGGATGTGCTTTATGCATCTGCTAGCCAGATCCCCCCCCCCCCCCATGCTTGTGTAGCATCTATACATGCTTGTTTAGCCTCTATACATAGAGAGGAAGGCTATTGATGTGGTTGGATATGAGTAGGTAGTCTAAACACAGGATAGCTAGAAGCAGCATGCCAAAAACATGTCAGAAAAAACTAAGGGAGTGTGAACGACGTGACCTCAGAAATGTGTCCAATTTTTCAAGTAGTACTAAAATTCATAACTTTGAACAGTTGAAGCTAAATACATATATCTGTATATATACAGGGTGCCGCAGCTAACTTTTACCAGAGTTTATAAATATGTTGACAAACTCTATGATGACGTGACTAAATGCATATTGCTTACTACTGCATGTAGTAAGTTAACATTTTTTTCTTTAGCTTAACTGAATAATTAGGCATATTTAAAGGGACCCTGAAATGATTTTTACGATTTTGTACAAACACATTGTGCCAGAGGACAAGTCCCAAAGGGTCATTTACAAACTGGTTTAGACTCTCTGAGTAAGCTGTGTAATTTACACGCTTTAAAGATGCGAATCGCTGTCCATCACTGCAGCTAAGCCAAACGTCTTTTCAATCTCCCATTCACAGTACAATATCCACAGGAAACGTAACGACACCCAGGCTGCTGGTCTGATTGGGCATGGAATATGCAAAAGTAAGATTGGCTAGTAGGGTGGTGGCATTTGTAGGAGCAGATATCAACTACTCCGTGATCTCCGTCTCTGTTTTCAGACGGCGTACATGCTGCCGGGTGCACTGGGCTATGGTCTCAAAAATTCCGCGCAACCTGTTGGCATGCAATCCCGGAGGCCATGATTGGGCGAAGCTCGAATTGTCGAGTGCATTCTCGAGAGCCCTACAATTGTCAGCATGTCTGATGAGATGAGGGGGCAAGGCAGGAATGAGAAGGAGGGTATGATATAATTGTCCATAACGGCCTTGGTACATGGCCTGTCACTAAATTTGTGGTGCAAATGGTTTGACAGTCCTTTAGTCTAAACGCTGAGAAAACTTTAAAAAACTGTTTCAGGGTCCCTTCAATTAACTTCCGAAGCAACGAAGCTAGCCAAAAGTTGTATGGAGAAAAATTTTAGATCGGCTTTCAAAACATCCAGTTAAACAGTTGCTAACTTCATATCTGTTAATTAGGAGTTTTTCAGCTTGCTATAGATGCCCACAAAATACAAGAAATACCACACGGCAGGTCAGACAGCACGCTGTGACTGCAATGCTCCCTAATGTTCCATGTACAAACGATATACTTCCCTCGCAGCAGTCCATGACAGCGATAAGCAGACGCCGCGCACTTGTCACATGGTATTTTTCGCGTATTTTACGGGCATCTGTAGTAGGTATAAAAAGCACAAAAGTTACAACTGTCTAATCAAACGTTTTGCAAGCCAATCTAACACTTTCTCTTTGAAATTTTTTTGCCCAGCTTCATTTTAATTACCTATTTTTTGGGTTTAACGTCTAAAAACCATGAGATGATTATAAGAGACACTGTGGTGGAGGGCTCCGGAAATTTTGACCGCCTTGGGTTCTTTAACGAGCCCCTAAATCTAAGTACACAGATCTTGAGCATTTTCACCTCCAGATGCATTTTCCCTCCATTTAAAATGTGGCTTCCACGACAAGGACTCGATACCGTGACCTGTGGGTAAGCAGTCGAGCGCTATAACCCGGAGACCAACCATGGTGGGCCGCCCAGCTTCTGTGCTTCAACTGCTAATTAAATAAAATTTCTCATGATGTAATTAGAAATAAGACAATAGCATGACTTACTCCATGCAATAGTCGCCAACATGCATTTGGTTGCATCGTCATAAATTGTATTGGCGAATTTTCAAACTCTGGTTAGAGATAGCTGGGGCACCCTGTATAGTATGTACCTTTTTCTTAATTCCTTAAACGGCATATCAAGGACAGGTAAAATACAAGGCTGGTTAAATACTGAACTTTGAATTAGTCAGGATGGTGAAATCTGGAGGTTGTTCATAAAGTAAGCATCCTTGGTTGGGTCACTGCAAAATGAATATGCTTAACTCAGAAAGTGCTCCCTCATGTAGAAATATTTCCTTCAAGAGCAGATGCTGCAAACAAGTTTTCACCATCAATTACTATATATGAATGTAAAAATCGAAACTTTTATGTTGCCAAAGAACAGCTGTGATCCATTGATATTGTGAACTCCGCTCTGTAAGCACTCATTCGTGTGGCAAGTTTATTGTAACAAAGTTAGTTGAAACATTAGAAAAAATTCAACCACAATCCCATGGAAAAGGTTTTCCCAATAAACATCAAATCTACGGAATATAAAAAATTACATTCTATGCGACTATTATTTCTCAAACGTTTCTTATATCAAACATTACTCTAAGGCTGTGCCGTTCAACACATAATAAAAGGAACAGTCAACAGCATGCTCAATTGAATACAATCTCTTAGACATCCATTTACAGCCCCTTTCATTTTGCTAAAGCTTATGGCAGCATAACATTTAGCAAATAAGAATTGGCTGAATTAACCAAAATGCCATTAATGTAGTTTAATGAAGGCTCTCTTCAACCTTGCTAATAAAAGTTCATTCTCACTCTCTCTCTTTTCATGATAAAGAAGCTTCTTGCAACTTGATTCATTTATCAAGATACATTAAGTACATAATTTCATAATGCTTAAAGATACATAAAAACCCTTCGTTTAAACCGATTTATCCTTTAACACTTCAGTTTGTGCTGCTAAAGTGTGATAAAGACCACAAAAGAATGCACAGTTCTATTCTTTGTTATAAATATCTCTCAGGTGTACCTTTTCCCTGCCAGAAAAGATGTGGATTCGTATTTTTGAACCTTTAAAACACAGTTTGAAAACTGATTACACTTTGATGCCCAAGACATATTCAGACCCATTCACTTCTATGGCATTTAGCAACACATAGAAAAAAGACGATAGGTGCACTCAAGTACTGCATAGGCTTCTGAAGTTTGATTGATATATGGGGTTTAACGTCCCAAAACCACAGTATGATTATGAGAGACGCCGTAGTGGAGGACTCCTGAAATTTAGACCACCTGGGGTTCTATAAAGTGCACCCAAATCTGAGCACACAGGCCTACAGCATTTTCGCCTCCATCGAAAATGCAGCCGCCACAGCCGAGTACCTTAGCCACTAGACCACCGTGGTGGGGCAGCTTCTGAAGTTTCTCATGCAGTTTAGTAGCATGATGGAGTGTGCTCTGCAAACAGATGTCAATAAATAGTAACAAAAATGCCATGCAGCGGTCAATGCTTGCAAAAAAAAAAAGAGAGAGCTGCGTCAGAGTTCCTTGCCCCGTTTTTCTTCGGCGACACAAAGGTGTGTACAAACCACAGAGTCGCATGCTTTAAAATTTAACCCACAGCTCATTGTGCAGCCCAGAGCAATTTGGTTGCATGCCTTGAAAGAAAGGAGGACTCAAAATGTGAACAAACCCCCAAGGAACCTGCCCAAGCTGATGGAAGCAACGAACCCACACCTGCCACCACATAGTATAGCATAAGCTGTTGTAATGTGTACATCACCCAACAGTGCGGGGCCTACCTGCAGACCCTGGACGTTACTTTCCCTTTGGACTAGTGCTTTGTCACCTGTGTTCTGGAAGAGAGTGTAATGCACTTGCAGCTGTTCCTAGATGTAGAAGCTTTTCATCCACAAGGTAACCTGTGCTTCGACCCGGTTTTATATGCCCTTACTAGGCTTTGCAGAGGCTTTTCATTTCAACCATTTTTTTTTTTTTTCGATGCATCAGCAGCCAACTGACGAAGTTGTCACAAATCGATTTTATTACAAAATGATGTAGTAATGTAGTATCGGAATCGCATAGGCAGTCTCAAAAATCACCCAAGATTTGCCAGCACCTCTGAAATAGTCGCTTATTTTCTCCCCTTGAAATTATGCTTTTGTTTTCATGCCTTTTATTTCATTTTGTCCAGAAGAAACAGGCAAATTGTGAATTTTAGCAAACTTTTGAGCATAGACAATGAGAAACAACTTATTTCCCAAATAATTAATGAAGCTGTGCATGTTCCATCTTCACTTATTATGCTGTAAAATAAACTAAAAAAAATGAAAACTAGCACATTTGGTATATTAAACCCTAGAAATGCAGAATTTAAAAGTGCTGTACAGTTCTTGTTAGCGGAGGTTTAGCCCAAATCAGGCATCAAACATATTTTTGGCCATTTCTACTCGAAGCACTTTCAATTTTTTGTGCAAAAAATGTAAATACCGACTGTTTGGGTATCAGTCATTTATGAGTGAAAATAAAACACTTGCTTTAAGGTATAAATTGTATTCTGCATGCATATGCAAAATTAATACTATAAATTAACATCTGAGTTTTTGGGCTATCATATTCATAGCTTCTTGCTTTCCTCAAGTGATCAAATCACTCCAGCCATGTTTGATATAGCTCTGAAAGCTGGCACTACTGCATTAGGTATGTGTGCTCTTAATCACATTTCTTTATAAAATAGTCAATCTATTAGGTAAAAATATTAAGGCATAATACTGCACCTTTTGCCAACTTTTGCTAATCTGTTCTGCCAAACCTGCCAGAAGCTCAATATTTAGAGTGCTGCAATTATTATTCTGGTGGTGGCACACACTTTTTTCTCTAGAAACCAGAAATATGCAAAACCGTTTCAATGTGAAACTTTTCATATTAGAATACACTGATATTCAAAGAATAGGTGAAGAAACATCAAAATATCTCAGTATTAATTATATAGTCAACAAAAAAATAAAGCCTGAAAGCCAGCTGCACTATTACTGAAAGTAAGAAAATACAGCTATTTAAGAAAAGACTGCATTTGAATAGCAAAATAATGGCTCCTGCGAGTTGAAAAAAAAGTAATAAACAAAAAATACTTTATGCACATTTAAGAGAAGGAAAGGTGGTGTTGCCTGCATGTCCTCAGAGGCCAACAAATGCTATCACTGAAATGGCTAACACTCTTGAGGGTTGAATATCAGATGCAACCCTATCCATAATAAGTAAAATGTCATCAAGCTGCTTACAAGGCTAGAAATTTGGCAGGATGAGCCTTGGACATGTTATTCAAAGGTTGCAGACACAAACCCTACTGAAAAAAGTTGTCTTTTTATGTACATTAATTTAGAGCCTCTACATTTATTTCTACATTACAGTTAAAGAGTACAAATAATGTACCCTATACCATGGCTTCATTGTCTGTTGGTTTCATTAGGTTATCTGCATAAATACATTTTTGTTCAATAACAGCAGCACTCCACCACTAACAGAGAAGCACTTATAAATATTCATGCAGGAGAACCTTTGCTTCAAAAACTATGAAAAAAGAAAAGGACTAGTTTTCAACAGAGTTCACTGCTAACCTGGAAGTAGGTATACTTGTACACTTGTCCCCCAGTCATCTTGGCCACTTGGCCTATCGTTGCCACATCAACATAGGCATTGTGGAACAAGAAAAGGTCCACACAGCAGCCAGCCGCTACACAGTCCTGTCCTAGCTGGCTGTAGAAGGGTGACTGGGGAATCAACACCGACTGGAGCAAGAAAACAAAAAAAAAAAGGCCTGGGTTAGCACTTCCCACTTCAGCAACTACCAGCCGTGTCTAGTAACCTAAAAAACAGTTATGAGTACGGCTTAAGTTCCAATAACGACCTATCACCAGTTAACATGCCTCAAAATCTCTATTTTTAGCGAGTTGCAACAGCATGCTTCACACCAGCTTAGCTTTGCCCACAAGGAGATGAGGAGATGTGAACATTTAAAAGCACACTTCTACGCTCTTATGCTAAATATTAAATATTGAGCTTAATACCTACCTTCTCTTTGTCAGTACCGAGTACCTTGCGGTCATCTCTGTTTTTTAACTTTCCAGGGGCATCCGCAATGGGAAGGCTTGTATGCATCACAAAGAGTTTGCCTGCACACTCTGCTGCCTGAAAACATTAGTGCATGGCTTTAATTACTTTGAAGAGTATCAGCATGACATCAAAGTTTGCAGCAAAAACTTTATATGAAAAGTAGGCACATAAAAAGAGTTTAATATACAGCATTATAACCAGCAATAAAATTATAAAAGTCGCAAAATTACTGTACACAAGGTATAACATGAGATGGCGATTCTTTACAACAATGCCACTCAAAGACAACCAAGCAACGGCTTGTTACTCAACATGAACATTAAACAAAACACATATAAACATTACCTTGAGGGCTTCCAAGCCAGCCTGAATAGCTGCTCCAAGGATTGTTTCTGTTTCACGGGTTTCCGCAAACATCGCAGGAATCTGCTCCAAGAGGCTAAGAAAAGAAATGTTATGAAAGACTTTATTTAAGTTTATTTAATGAGTTCCCTTAGAGCAGCTCGTTCAATGGCTCTACTACTACTCGACAAAAATTTTAACAAAAGCCTCTAAAAACCCAATTTCGAGCACGCACATCACACAAGAAGCTACACACAGCATTGACGTTCTGGCTCAAGAACAGTTGTGTGTGTGCCTTTTGCACATGACACATACAGCTGAACCCCTTTATAAAGAGATATGCTCCAGGTAGCAGTTTTTTGTCTTCTATATGGGATGCCTTTTATAAGCAGGGTAGCTCGTATGCATTTTCTTATCAACCTGTATTTTACTGTAGCCACACTGGTATCTCTTGTACCTATTTGTCTCTTATATATCGGCGTCTCTTATAAAGGGGTTCCACTGTATGGGCTTACCTACATTTTATCGATTGCTCAAAATATGAAAAACAAGCTAAACTATAATTTTACACCACTTACCTATCAATGAGGACAGATGCCTCTTGAACTGTCACGAGACAACCGTCCAACAAAGGCACAAACATGTCGTGTACGTCTGGTACCACCAGCATCTGCGGTTGAGCCAGGCTTGCCTGCAAAATCATAACCCTTCCTTAGTGGTAGTGGCTCCCAGGGTTACACATACAGAAGTTCCCAACAATGTGGAAGGGGGAATAACCACCAGTGTAGCTCATTTGGCAGAGCATTACATGCCTAATGGGAAGGTTGTGGGTTTGATCCCTACTGGTGGCTGAATATACATGCTGTATATTGTTTTTTAAGCACAACTTTCAGTACTGCAAAACACTTCTGCAATGGCCCACACTAATCGCTAGCAAGCAAGGAAAAGCAAGAAAGCTGAAATTGTGAAATACCTTGAGATTGTAGAAATGCACAACACTACTGTACGTGATGAAGCCTACGCGCACATTGGATTCAGCTTCACCTTCGGCTCTGTACAAAAGAAACAAAAAAGCAGTGCATAAAGCATTCAAACAATGCAGACAAATGCCTATGCTTTACAAGAAATAAGACAGCATACTATGCATGTGCGACTATTTGAGCACTTTGAATATTTGAACAAATATTACAGTATTCGCATTCACTATTGTTTGAGACTTCGAACTACACTCGAACCTCATTATAACAAAGTTGCATCTTACAGCAAAATAAGTTCATTATAATCAAGTTTCACATCCATCCATCTGAAAATACGTTAGAAAGGTATATTTCTCACACTATATCTATTGCAAGACTACCATTCTTACTTTACTTAGTTAACACCAATATTTCTTTATATATGGGTTCGATATATTGAGCTTTAAGTGCATTCACAATGAGCGAATAAACATGTAAACCACAAGTAATCCCATGTAAAAATGCTTTCACTGCAGTGGAGGGGTGCTCTACCATGAATACACCTATCCAGAAAAAATGAACATATTAAATGAACATATTAAATGAACATATTAACCTCATATCAATTCATTATTTTTTTAAGTATAAAAGGTTATTATACTGGCTCATGCACTAGTTATAATAATTTTTAAAATGCCATGTATTGTACAGGTCATCACTACACTCTACCGAAAGTCAAATACTGCTACTATATAGAGTTGCTTCTACTTCTCTTTGAACCATAAAGAATGACTTATCCATATGCCTAGTTTCCATTTTTGAGAAATATTATGCAGGTTAGTAGGGTTATAACAAACATGCTCATTTTTCTATAAACTATGTAATATGTGACATATACCATTAGAATTCTATTGGAAATTATTGGAACGAATCACTATTCGCTTCGAACCAAAAATTTACTATTTGCCTATGCCTACACTATATACACAACCTGCTACGAATTCTTTCGTTTGTACAAAGGAAACGTAAAGGGAACTGGAATTTAGGGTTACCTCACCTTGGCAGTTCCTGTAGGATAGACTGAATATGGCTGCAGAATATGTGCACCAGTCCATTTCGAATGCTGTTGTAGGAGACATCTAACAGGAATAAGAAGGCTGGAGGTTGAGGAAACACTGAGTTCTGGCAAAGAGAGAGAGTAAAAGACACAAGGTTTGAACAACTGCAAAATTTAACCTACTGCACATCTGCCATCAACAACATAGTAAAACGAAGAAAACTGACTACTGGGCATGTTCAAAGGAACTCAAATCCTTTGCTCAATGTCAGCAGCATATTACTGAATGTTCTAAAATCATAGCATCATGTTAGTTACAACTAAACTCATTCAATACACCCAACATTCTTGTCAAATTTAATAGTAAATAGCTTCAGGGATTACCAAAAAAGAAAAAAAGACAAAAAGTTCTTTTTCCTTAAACTATAATTTCACAAGATTTCTCTTCTTAGGTGAAACATCAGGACAAAATTTACAGAAATCACGCAGACGCACCAATGTACTATCCACGTCAAATGAAACTCGAACAGCGGCAACCCTTTGCGATGGTATGCACCGTCTAGTTATCACCATTGACAGGCACGTGCATCCTGTTCGGCAGCCCTGCGCATATATGTGTGCCTGTCCATGCCGATAAATGGATGACATGCACTATACCATCGCGAATAGTGCATACCTGGCTCCTCAACCGCTGTAATAGCAATGTGAACTGTGACATTACACTGCACAATAATGATAACCAATGACTATTGGGCACACGTATGAATTGGCAAGCTATGCTGTCACAAGCAAGAGGCCATTAGCTACAGTTAATGTTGAAGTCGGGAATTGAACGAAATCTCGTCTGGTCGGGAAGTAATGGCATTGTAGAAAGAAAAAGACAGGACGCTGACCAAGAGGGTATCAAAAATATAATAAAAGACGTTTAGGCTTACACACAGAAGCATTGTTCGCTAAGCTGAGAGTTCGAAGCTTCCAGCTTAAATCCGCTAAAGTAAGCGCTTGAGGAATCTTGCATACATCAGAGGTAGAGTGCCGACGTTGCAGTTAAGTGTGTTCCTTGTTGTCTGGATAGTCAAAGATTCCAGATAGTGCCATTTTGTCCAGTTTTTTTCTTTGGCGATAACTGAAGCACGGTCCCAGTCAAAGCAGTGGTGCATTTTTTCTGCGTGCTTTGCAAGAGCACTGAAAGTGACTACTTTTCACGTCATTTACCGTAATTACTCGAATCTAACGCGCACCTTTTTTCCGGTTAAGCCAGTTCATAAATCGCATGCGCGTTAGAATCGAGTACGAACAAAAAAATTACGGTCAATCTATTGCCATCGGCAAATCCAAAATGGCCGCCCCCTACGTGCGTCGGCATGGCGCGTCGGCCATTTCTGCCTATGTGTTTCCCATGTGCGGCACTTCATACGTGTGCTGAGGAGTTCGTCATCTAGTAGTGCATTAGCATCGACGGCGTCGAAGGGCCGACTCCAAAAACTCGAGCGCACCACGATGCCGCTTTTAAAAGAAAAGTCATCGCGTGTGCAGAAACGGACGCAAATCGGGCCGCATCGCGGTCGTTCGGAGTTCCCGAAACGTGCGTGCGGGACCGGCGGAAACAAAAGCAGAAGATTGTCGACAGCAAAGCTTCACGCAAAGGCTTCAGTGGACCAGAGCAGGGTCGGTTTTCACAAATTAAAGAGCTGCTCGGCGAGTATGTGCTTGAGCAGCGAGCGGCACAGCGGCCCGGGACGACAGAACTGCTCCAAGTGCGGGCTATGCAATTAGTCTTAGAAAAAGGTCTAATGCGGAGCCAGTATAAAGCGAGCAGGTGCTGGCTAACTAACTTTATGAAGAGGAAAGGCTTTTCCCTCCGAAAGGGAACATGCATATGCGAAAAGTTTTGCGGAGGAGTACGATGAAAAGCTTCACAGTTTTCAGAGGTTCGTTCTAAACTTGCGGCGCAACAACGGCTACTTGCTTGGGCAAATCGGGAATGCCGATCAGACGCCTCTTTACTTCGACATGCCTGGCACCACAACCGTCGAGAAGAAGGGGGCGAAGCAAGTTTGCGTGCTGACATCGGTCCACGGTAAAACTACAGTGACGGCAATGCTCTGTTACACGTCAGATGGGCACAAGCTTCGCCCGTACTTCATATTTAAATGGAAGACGCTCCCTAAAGGAGTTGTTTTTTCGAGTGGTGTGATCGTGCGGGCCAGCGAGAAAAATGGGTGCGCGTTGCAATCGATGTCTTACTTTTTTTTTTTTTTCGCGGTGGAAACCGGGTGCGCGTTACAATCGAGGGCGCGGTAGAATCGAGTAAATACGGTATGTGTTCTTTCAGGCGTCGCTTGAAATCTCCGCTTTCACCCACGTAGATATAACCTCAGTTAGCGCAAGAAATCTTATAAAGAACGCCAGGGAACTTTTTCTTTTTTTTAGTTTGTCCTTGACGCTGACAAGCTTGTGACGTAGCTTGTGGCTCGGATTATGGGTGATTTGCACATTGTATGCAGGCAGGACACGTGCCAATGCTTTGCTGATGCCGTGAACGTATGATGTGGAGGCACGATGCTGGCTGAGGGAATCACGTGGCTCAGTTGGGCCCAAGGCTCGTTTCTCGGACGAAGCAAGAAAGCTTTTGGGGTACTTGCAGGCGCCGAGTTCACGTCGGATGCATGCTAAGTCAGAGTTGAAGTTCTCTGGCTTGCTGCGAATTCGTTGGGACCTTTTTATTAAAGAAAAGGCCACAGACCGTTTGTGCCTTGCAGGGTTGACCGACGTGAAATGAAGATAACGCCCACTATGTGTGTCCTTCCTATGAACACTGAACGACAGAAGCTGTCGGTCCCGCTGTACTATTACGTCAAGAAAAGGTAGACGTCCAGAGCTTTCCTCTTCCATGATGAATTTTATAGCTTCCTCAATGCTATTCAATGGTTGGTGAATGTGGCCAAGGCATTTTTTTTATGATGCAAGAGCTATCATCAATGTGTCGGAAGAATAACTTCGAAGCAGGGTCGAAGGAAGCCATAGCCTGGCTTTTCACTGACTCCATAGCCAATTAATGTTGAAGGACAATAACTTATACATAGGCATGTAGAACAGATCACCTCCACTAATATTTTGTGTATGTAACAAAACACTGTCCTACTAAACACTATGGTGTACACTCAAGCTGCTAATGAAGTTATTCTCACATAGTTCCTGTGAAATTAAATATTTTCTGGGAAAAGAAATGAACAATAAAAAATTCACATCAATTCATGCTACAGCTTCAAACTGTATTGTCAGTACCTTGCAATATTCCTTGGTGGCAACGATTTCGTAGGATCCAAGACAAAGCTCAGGTCGCTGGAACTTGTCTGACCGCTGGCCCAAATGGTCCAAGTGGGCAAAATAAGAAGGAGGCACTGCACACAACAAATAGCAATTTCAGTGCAGTCATGCCGACGCCACTGTTTAGTGTGTGCAAATACTATGTTACGTGCTTGCAGCATCCCACCAACTTGCTACAGATAAAGAAATAATGCCACTCGCAAACAATTTATAACACTGCATGACATATGCTGAATTAAAAGCAGAAAAAGCTTTCTTCATACTGATGAGTATCAGAAAAAATAGGGTTGAACTTAAGATTTTACATCCTCCCAGTGCACACAGAAATGTCTTGATGTGTTTTCATACTTCCCTGGCTGCGATTTCCCTGCAGCAGGAGCATCGCAGACATTCTAAAACACGGCATTTTGTAGGCGAAGCCACGTGTTTGAAATTACTGCTAATATTCCACCAGCAGTCAATTCTTTGAAACTTCCATACAAGAGTGGAGCAACTTTTAAAACTTTGATGCTTTGAACTGTGATTTTTTCAGTCCCTGCACCCTCTTTTTCTCTCTCTTTCTATTTCTCGTACCCCTAAAGTTCAGACAAAACAACTTTTTACTGCTATGTAGACAATGAAACAACGTCAATGTTAGCTTTCAAATATGCAAGGGTCACATTACATGCCGCCAAATCTGCTCATTTCAAATTTCTTAAATCTGGCTTACTGCTGAGCCACGGCACTAGCATTTAAATGACTTCAGTTTTACATACTGAATATCCATGTATTTGTGAGAGGTGCAGCTTCATGTCAACTCCTTTGACACCAGAACATCAGTCTTGCACATCCTTTCGAAGCAGTCACTCATACTCAGGGCAGATCTCTGCAGCGCTTTTTCGTTACAGCTTCCAACGTGATAAAACACAGTAATAATGAACCAATATCAGCAATGACCAAACACTTTCCAGGCAGGCATTTAGGCTGCAAATAAACTGAAAAAAATCCATAGCTACCAAGGTACAGAGATGCAGGACCTGTAGCTAGAGAACAGATGAGATCAGTTTTTCCCAATCTTCAAAAACTGCAGAGAAAAGGCTAACCATGATAACCGTGACACTATAAGGTAGCATACGAGGGTTTACTGGTCAGTTGCCTGATGCTAAGATTATGTACTATGGCATGATGCAGTGATGCTACGGGCTTAGGTTGTTTTTGGAGCAAGTTTTGGAGCAGGCAAAAATGCATTTTGGAACAGCGAAACTGGCTTTTGGAGCACATATCGCTAGAAGCAATTTTAAGACATGTACCGCATTCATTACAAACGACCGATAAAAGCACAATTTTCTACACACTATTCAAGCACAATAAAAGTATAAAAAGCACAGAATTATACACATCAGCCACGTCTAACCCGACATAGTAGTCAAAGCCAATGGTGAAATATAGAACCATAGCACCTTGTTATAAGATGACTAAAGGTGACATCATCATCACAGATTAGCTTGTATATTAGAACAAAAAAAAAAAAACACGAAAGTATGGCCTTTGATATAGCGAGAGCGCGGCGTGTGCGCCCTTCTCGGAAGCGATAAGGTGTAGAGCACAAATGGACGGGTAGGTGCCACCACCATGTCATCTTAGCAAAGCGATGGAAAGACTTGCCTTTTTTGTGCGTAGCATTGCATTGTCAGCGAAGCGTGATAAATGCAACGGTCCTTAGAATTACTTATGTATGCCTTTTCTAGTAAAGAGACACCACAGAATATTGACGTGTTGTTATTGTGCCTCTGATATAAGTAATAATTGCTCTTTATTGACAATTGTACAAGTATGAACGCTGAAACATGAGCAATATTGGTGGGTGCTGCGAATGGGATTGGATTTTGGCCATTTCGGGTATCATTTCAGAGGACAAGCAAACAAACGGCAAAGCAGTAGATTGGAATGATATATATAAGATAAAAGATGCTGATGAGGCCTATAATGGTTTTTTGAATGCATTACGTCACTGTTACAACACGGCATTTCCTAGGAAAGAAGTCTCTTTTCAAAAGAGAAAAACTTGCCGGAAACCTTGGATAGACTGCTCGCTTTATAAACGTATTCAAATAAAAAAGGCCTTTTTAAAAATTTTTTAAGCCTACGAGAACCCGAAGCATTTGCCGAGTACAAAAAATACCGCAACGCACTTACATCAACTTAAAAAAGGCTAAACGAGAATATTATCAGAAAAATTTCAGAACATATGTGATAACCCAAGAAGGTCTGGGAAACAGTGGATGCCCTTACTGGGAGAAGAAAGCAAGACATGACATCACAGAAAGCAAGAGGAAAACGTGGTGCTGCGTGGAGAGAACCTAGCCAATGCTATAAATCGTCATTTCGTCATGCGGGCGGTATAGTGGTTTTTCTGAAAGAGAAGATGACTCGTGTTTCGAAGAACCAACAGCTATGCAGAATTCAATCTTTATGCTTCCTACTGACAGTGCTGAGATAGCTAACCTAATAAAAAACTTAGAGCAATGGACGCCAGGTATAGACAAATCACCGCAGCTGAACTAAAGTTGATATGTCCGCTAATATCCGAGGCGCTTGCTTACATAGTAAATCTTGTACTGAAAACAGGCGTGTTTCCGGCACAGTTAAAAGTTGCAAGGGTAACCCCAATTTACAAGGAGGTGGCATTAATAATATGTCAAATTATAGACCCGTTTCAGTACTCTCGACATTATCAAAGGTTTTTGAAGGCGTTATTCACGACAGGTTGTTATCCTTTTCAATAAGTATGCATCATCACAACATGTCAGTATGGTTTTCAGAAAAACAGTCTACTGAACAAGCGGTAACGATTATTAAAGATCAAATAATTACAAATATGGAAAATAGAAATTTACGCTTGGTTTATTTTTGGACTTAAAAAAAGCCTTCGACTTCAATACATTATGTATATTGTTACGGAAACTATTCACGGTACGGCATACGTGGGGTCACCCTTTAAGCTAGTACAAAACTATTGCATAACCGGTACCAACTAGTACAAATGAAGACAGCCACATCAAGTCGGCTTCAGTGACCCAAGGAGTTCCGCAGGGTTCTATACTGGGTCCTTTGCTCTTTTTGCTTTATGTTAATGATATTGTATGTATACCCGCCTCACCACAGCTTATTATGTATGCAGACGACACAAATGTATTTTCACATCAGATCACTTAGAAATACTAGAAAAAAATGTAAATGAATATATGACGTCACTCTCAAACTGGCTTAAACAAAACAAGCTACAGTTAAATGCCAAGAAGACGACATATATTATATTTCGCCCAATAAATAAACATGTTAAATATGACATAAAGATAAGCTTTGACGGGAACATCATAAAACGAGAAAAACATCAAAAATTTCTGGGGGTATGGTTTCAGTGAAGACTTAACGTGGAATGTCCACGTTAATCATTTAGTTAGGCAACTTGCGGGAACGGTAGGATGCCTGTACAGAATTGGTTCCCTCATTCCTCAGTGGCTGAAGAAAAATTTGTACAATGCCCTATTCTATTCGAGACTTTGTTACGGCGTACTAGTATGGGTACCACAACAGCGAAAAATTATAACAACTTATAATGCTACAAAGAAAATACTTCGCTGTTATGAAATTACCAGGGTAGAATAGACCGTTTGCGCACTTCAGTGCTCTTTGATAAACATGAAATCTTAAGGCAAACCAAATATATTATTTTTAAACTGCTTCAAGAGGTACACAAAATAAGTGGTATAAACAAAAGAAATGACCAACGTTATCCTGCAAGAAGAAACTTACAGCGTTTACCGAGAACCAGGACAAATTACGGAAAGCAAACACTGCCTTACCAATCAACGCGAATAGTAAATGAATTCCAAAATGGCTTGCAGTTTGACGTCAGCCTAGGGACATTTAAAAAACAAGTTAAAGAAATTTTGATCAAAAAAGGAAATAACTTATCATCACTAATCTATATTGTGTAAAAAGAGTAGGTAGAATGTTAATGTTAAGAAGTAAGTAGTTCATTATGGTATACGATGCATCCATTTTATGTTCCTGCATCTGTATTATGCTAAGTGTATTATATGTTGTTGCTTGTTTTTTTTTTCATTCCTGTATTCTTTTGTTAGCGCTCATGTGGTACATGACATGTTAGTTTTTGTTGCTTGTTGTATCTGCAAAAAAAAAAAAAAAAAAAAAAAAAAAGTGCATCTGTGACGAACTACAGGTGCAGAGGCCTTTGTTCAGGCGTATGAAACGCCTTTTGCTTCTGTATCCTTTTTCTTGCCTTTCAAGAAATAAAATAAATTACTACTACTACTAAACGGACAGATAGACAGGCAGATAGAAAAATAAACAGACAGACCAAAGCTGTTGCATCGAAGTACCCCAAGAAAGACAATCATCTTTAATAAACACAGAAAGGTCTGTGCTACACCTCCAAGTTTTATCTATTCGCAGTGAGATCGGGCTATAAGTGGCAGCACCATCCCTCTGAATGTGTCGATAGGCGGTCGGCGGCACGTATACAAATACACGCAGCGGCGCATCGTTGCGTGTGGATAAAATGCGTTGACTACAGTCTACTGTTACTATCTAAGCTCTTCTCTGCTGAAGAGGTGCATGAAAACTATGCAACGTTAACACTAGCCGCGAGTAAAGTGCATTCTGCCTTTCATAGAGATGCTCGCCCTGAGCGACTCTCTTCACGCTTTCACACTAAATCATGCCTTTGGTGCGTTGTTTGTACACAGTTAGCTTGTGTTCTGCCTGCTATGCACTGCTGTAGCGTGACTGAACCACTTATTTACATCTTTGTTATCTGTATACCACAAAAAAGAGAGAAAGAAGAATCATAGAAAGCTTGCATATCTGTACGATTAGTTCTGTACCCCTGTTCGCATCTTATATGCATACAATTTTTTTTTTTTCTCAATCTGTTCACCATGAATTCTGGGACAGTCTGACACAGTCGATGAGACTTGTCAGGAAAGCTTAGTGGCTGGCGGCACTTTGCGCTACAGTGCGTTTACCACTTGTAAGCACATGTTCTTGTACTAGTAAAAATATAAAAATC